TAGGTGCTTTAGACCACTGAGCCATCTCACCAGCCCCCCCTCATATACTTTAAATCATCACTAAACTACTTCTAAGACCTGAAGCAATATAAATGTACAATATTATTATACTATATTGTTTGGACAATAGTAACAAAAACAAGTCTGTGTATGTTAACTACAGAGAAAATTTTTTTTCAGATATTTTTCAATCTGTGGTCATACCTGGGATGCAGAACCTATAAATATTGAGCTTTAAAGCTATGCATGGCCGGGCATGATGGCGCACACCTGTAATCCCAGCACTCAGGCGGACCACTGTTGAGTCTGAGGCCAGCCTGGGCTACATAGTGAGTTCAAGGCCAGTGTGAACTACATAGTGAGACACCAACAAACAACAAAAGACAATAAAAACAATGTTTAAAAAGCTATAAATGCTGATACAAACAGAATCTCTGACACACCCCTCCTTACCTCTGCCCTTAAATAGATCTCATAGTAGTGGCCTCTGACTGCTGCATTGTCAGTACCCTTCTCAGAACAGTAGGCAGGCATGGTATTCCTGAACAGGGTGTGGTGGTACACACCTGTAATCCCAGCACTTGGGAGGCTAAGGCAAGAGGATCCCAGTGAGTTCGAGGCCAGCCTGAACTAGAGACCTTGTATCAAAAAAAGAATGACACCCTTGTACCCCCTAACAGCAGTCACAGTTCACTACTATACAGGGGGTATTGAGACCAAAAACGAAGGGACAAAGGGCAAAAACCTGAGAAAAACTAAACCAAGCACAGTGGTACCTTGGTTCAAAAACACTTTTGTTTGAAAATAATGTGGTTTCAAACAAGCATATGGCAAAATGTTGCTTTTGTGAACTCTGCATTGGATGACAAACAGGACTGCAGCCATCTTTCCCACATAAACAGGAATGTAGCCACCTTTTCCAGACTCATGGAACAAATTAAGTTCAAGAACCGAGGTACCAGTGTAAACTGAAGACAAGGTAGACATAGGCCTTGAAAAAAGTTAAAGCTGTACAAGCCAAAGAACTGAAAGAATTCCCTGGCAACTCATTGCCTGGCAAACAAAGTACAAAGCCACAGCACTTGTGTGTTCATGTCCTGTGTCCCAAGGAGCTGTGTCAGGTGTTAAGATTCAGGCAGGCACTTCCTTGGTAGCCTCTTGCCCCCGTCATCTAGTGAGGGGCTTGTTTTAATAAACCACACACTTGGGTGTTTGCTATTCTGTTGTCCTTCTGTGCCACCTCGGAACAAGAACCCAGAAGAGAGCTGGTCATACCACCACTAACCTACTTAAATTTCAGCCTTTCAAACTTGCATCTATATACAAGTTAGAGACAAGGTCTTGCTAAAGGTGCTAGATTGCTCAAATGGCTCGAAGTCACATTCCTGCCTCAGCCTTCCACAGTATGGGACTATAGATGTGCGCCACCAAGCTTAGTCACAAGTTACTTCCATGTGTATGTGATATAGACAATAGTATTTTAACAGATACCACAGTAGTCCCATGTACTTGGAAGGCAGAAAGTAAGAGACAGGACAGAGACAGATGGGAGGGAAGGAGACAAAAATTTGGTCTTTGTCCTTGTTCTCAGCAAATTGCTCTTCAAAACCCTTGTCATCTCCTGCATGAGATCTTCTGTAGGCTGCTGAGAAGACCAATGGCTGGAAGCCCTAGGCAGCTTCAGGAAGCAGGATGGCAGGTGGAAGGCCAAGGCTTGATCAGAGGGTTGGGCCTTTCAGCCCCACTATCCACCTCTGGGCAAGACACTGAGTTAATCCCAGTGGATGATTGTGTACTCAGTCATGCCTACTTACTGAAACCTCCACAAGAGCTAAACCAAGTTGAGAGCACCTTGGCCTGTTTTACACATGTAGGCAGGGGCGAGTGGTGTGCCACGTAGATGCTCTATGCAAGCCCCCCTGTACCTTGCCCTAAGCGTGCCTTCCATTTGGCCATTCCACAGCTGTAATCTCTAAACTGTTCATAGGAAGATGAAACCAAAAAAGAGGCATTGTGTGTACTGATATGGAATACTTCCCAAGATCTATTAGGTGAAACAAACAAATGAAGACAATGCGGAAAGAATTCTACCCAGAATAGAACTCATTTCCATGCATAGGATGATTCTGTAGTGTTTCAGAAGACAACTGATAAAAGCAACCACTTTGGAGGGGAAATAAATGGCTTTGGGACTAGAATAAAAGGACCACTTAATGGGGAGGGGAATATAGGTTGGAGGGAGGGTAGGGGAATGGCAAAAACAAGTTAAATACAGGTATGAATTCACTATGATGAATGTGATCATTATACATATTTCTGAAATGTACCAATAAAATCTGATTGAATAGCACTTTTCAATGCCAGGTTACATAAGCCTACTGGTTGGTGCCACGCACAGCCAGGGTGGGGCTTCCCTCTTCAGTAAATCTGTTATCCACCCAGAACTATGCTAAGCCATTCAGTACACTGATCCTGTATCACACTCATGATCTAGTCCCTCCCAAAAGCCCCACCCGTAAGGGCATGAGACTTTGGGGGGGACTAGATAGATGCCATAAGAGCTGGATGGTGTATTATAGGACACTAGTTGGTATCCACAGAGAAGTGGAGAACTGCTTTGTGTGGAAAATTTTCACATACCTGGTATCAGAAGCATTTAGAGTAAAAATACTGTGTATTATAGTGGTTTTTCATTGGTTAATACAAGGTTAAAAATTACATTAAAAATGTAATTTTAATGCCTTATTGTATCACCATGGGCAGGTCACAGTGTCACCGAGCCTTACAAGTTTCTCTAAAATGCAAATGCCACCCTCTATCTTACAAGGATTATGGCAAGGATTACATGAGAAGTCCCTATAAAGTACCAAATGGACAGTGTATACTTGAGAAGCCATTCCCCTTTTCTGGCAACAGAAATACAGAGTGCTATGCTGTACTTTTTTTCCAAGTGCAAATCAAATTCCTTTCCCATTTGCAACTCAGAGACAACATGATAGCGTGTATCAAGAGAGGTGGGCAGCCGGCTCATTGGAGAAGAGGAGCACATGTTTAATGGGGAGTGAGTAATGAATTAATGCTCAGCGATGTTGTAGAATGATGGGAGCCAAAGGCTGGATGCAATCGGTCGGCCACAGGGTCTCACCGAGATTAGTCCTGAGCCAGGGAAACTTCTCACATTTATTGAGGGCCACAAACAGCTAAGGAATGTGCATAACTAATTTGGTGTAAGCAAACTGTTATCTATATGGCCTTCTGGCATTCACCAGCTAGCTTACTTCCCAGGTAAAGGAACAAAGAACAGACAGGGCACTGGTTCCAGGAATCTGTCACTACCTTGTCTCCAGCCTGCCCGAATTACAAGGAGCCACTTTCCTTAGGCTCTGTTCTTTGTTCCTTGCTCCCTCCGTACAATAAACTGACTCTTATCACTACACAGTAAAGTGACCCAGGGCAGGCAATGGGTGAGAACGAAAGCCAGCACCAGCACGGGTTCCTTCCTGTGTTAAAAGTGAAAGCATAAGAGTTAATGGGGATGTTTTAGATTTGGAATGCAGTACAAAGTCTGGCCTAAACCGGTTTCCATATGCATTTTCCAGTATCGTTTCAGTGAAAGAAAGTAAATGGAACAAAAAACACTGGGGAAAGGTAGCTTTAATTTTTTAAATCTGAATTATGATATATAAAGGTAATCCCTTTCAGAGTAAAATTAACAGCCAGAATACTTTTACAATGAACTGCAGGCTGGGCGTGGTAGTGTATGCCTATCATCCCAGCCTTAAGAGGATAAAGCAAGATCACAAAACAAGCCCTGGACAACATAAGGACTTAGCAAGACCCTTTCTCAACATAAAAAAATGAGTTTAAGTTTTAGTACTATTTTAAAAACCTCACACAGTTCTCTTTAAATTTACAGAGTATATAGGGGCTGGGGAGATGGCTCAGTAGGATAAGCGCTTGACTGGCAAACGCAAGGATCTGAGTTCAATCCCCGGTTCCTCAAAAAAATAAAAAATAAAATAAAATAAATTTACAGAGTATGCCTAAGAAAGCAGCAATATGCAAGAGAAGAACTATTACTCTGATGCTCAGAAAACCATATACTGGGGGAGGGGAAACAGCTAGAAGGCAGAGGCAGAACTGGAAAAGATTTTTCTTAAGTACAAATGCTTCATGGGGCCAAAGAACACAATTAAGGAAACAAAATGGACTCATATTCAGGCCACTTTACAAATGCAATGAAACCAGGCCTGGTGGCACACACCTGTAATCCCAGCACTTGGGAGGTTGAGATAGGAGGATCTCTGTGAGTTCAAGACCAGCCTGGGGGCTACAAAAGTGAGCACAAGGCCAGCCCAAACTGCATAGTGAGATCCTATGTCCAAAAAGAAAATACACGGCTGGGAAGATAGCTCAGTGGAAGGCACTGAGTTTGATCGCTGATATCACCAGAAAGAAAGAAAAAGAAAAATTCAATGAACAGATGGGCATGGTGCACATGTAATACCAGCACTCAGGAGACAAAATCAAGAGGTTTGTAAGTTTCTGGTGGACTCTATCTCAAAAATATGAACAAAATCCTTGTAAAACCACAACGTATAGATTACAACATTTTTAAGTGTTGCTAAGTTGCTTGTACAAGCTCAAAGTCATAAGCATGACTTCAGGATCAGAACTTTTTATGTCAAGCGCCTTAACTAGGCATTTCAAGGCCTCCTGTATTTCTCCACATTCTTTCAGTTCTTTTCCTCGAGTTATGAGAGTCTCATAGTCATTTTCAGCCTCTGTTGTCTTATCCTGCGGAGAATCAACCATGGGGCCAGCAGACAAAGGGTCAGGCATGCCAGGAGAGGACTGTAGGCCAGAGCCTAGTGGCTCAGACACAGTTAGCTCAACAGACTTATTTTCTGAAGACAGCCTTTCTCCAGAAGCATCTTCTGTTTTCTCTGAGGCACTGTCACTGCTTTCTTCTGCTCCTTCCTCCAGATCACCTTTAGAACCCTCTGCTTCACTGCCATCAAGTCTCTCCTCCATATCTTCCACATGGTCTAAAACCACATTAATCAGAGACCTTCTAGAAGCTAGAGATCTCCTAGGTTTTATGGACTGATTTACACTAGCAGGTATTTTAGGTGAAAAGAATCTTCCAGGTAAATTGTCATCTTTGGGAGTAGAAGCATCAAATTGTTTCTCTGATGAGAACTGAAAGAGAGATGTATTGAATGGACTTGCATGTAAAGGACCTTTAAAAGAAGCATCCTCATCTTCATCATCTGAAATAATCCTTCTAGCTTTGCTTCTGCTTTTAATACTAACTACCGCTTCCTCTGGGTCATTGTCTTTTTTAGAAAAATCCAAACTGAGACATGCTTCGCTGTGCACGGACTCTGCCCTAGAATTAGCTGTGGAGCCACACAAGCCATTTTCTTTTTTAACACACTCCAAAGACTGAGTGGAGAGATCTCGTGTATTGTCTGCATAGTCTTCCAAGCAAAGATTGAAGTCACATGCATATTGAGGTGAAGATGCTACAGGTTCCCCTTCTGACTTGGCTTCATTGGCTTGGGCACCCTGCAGTACACTATCGGCTGCTGCTGATTCATCAGCTATTTCAATAACAGATATATTTAATTTTACATTTTTATTTTCATCTGTTATGGAATTGCTGTGATATAAAATCTCATCATCCTGTGCATCTACACGTAATGCAAGATCAGCCCCTTGCTCAGGCTCTTCTTGTAATGACTTTTGCAGCGATTCGTTTTCAACTGCAAAGCTTTTTGTGGTTTCCAGTAATGAGGCAGCCCAAATTTCTTCTATACTCCCAAACTCCTTGGATAAAGTGGCTACAGAATCAGTATGAACTGTGCTTCCACACAAGTGCACGCTATCTTGTAGTGTGGTCCTATGCATATTTACACTGGGGCACTCCTGATCTTCAATATGTATACTTGCCACTTGAAAACTGACAGCTTCTTCCTGGGTAGGATTAGTTGTAAGAGATGAAAGCTGAGGTTGGGGTTTCTTCAATTCAGGGCATTTCTTTTTTGTTTGAGAATAAAACAGAGATGTTGTTGGCCAGACACCCTCATTTCCAGTTCTTTGTTTTTCCATTGTATTTTGAGACTCGAATTCAACAAGGAATTGAGCTTTCTGAACTCTTTGTTGAATATACTGAGATTCTTCTATCACATCAAGCTCTTCCTTAACAGACAGATCATGTGTGTATATCAAATCATGGTCTGAAATTCCAGCTATTCCCAGAGAGTATAGGTAAGTAATGTGTTCATCTAGGGTCTTATCAGATCTCCTCTGAGCAGCATGCAGAGACTGAAGCTGCAGCTGGGTGGCAGAGTTCTGGAAATCCTCAATAGTAAAGAGCTCTCTTAACTCTTGTTTATTGAAATAGCGGAATGGGTTCTTCTTATCACCAGTAGTTTGTCTGATTAATGAGCCCTTGAAAACCTGTCTTCTGTATATTTTTTCTTCTACAGTCCCACAAGTGATTAGCCTATAAACCACAACATTTTCTTTTTGTCCAATTCGGTAAACTCTATCCACAGCTTGAGCATCACTTGCAGGGTTCCAGCTAGGGTCAAAAATGACCACTCTAGTTGCTGCAGTTAATGTTAAGCCAACACCACCCACTTGAGTGGTAAGCAGAAAAACAGAGTAATCTTTATTGTGCTGGAATAAGTTAATCCTTTTTTCTCGCTCCAAAAGATGAGTAACTGTGCCATCAATTCGCAATGTCTTAAAATGCTTATTCCTTAGGAGGCGTTCAATGATGTTTAGAATTTGTCTTGATTGAGAGAATACCAGTGTTTGATGCCCTTCATCTCGCAGTCTCTTCAGCAGGTCCATTAAGAACATCATCTTTCCAGATTCTTTCATCAACAGATCATCAGTTACATGAGAAATGTCATCCATATCTGAGGAATGATCCTCATTTCCATCTTGAGCAGAGATCTTAGCAGTCCTTAACTGCAGCAAATGACAAGCACGTGTAGACAGCAGCCTAGGATGGTCGCACAGCTTCTTTAAGACTCCTAACTCAGCCAAAGGTGAGCGTGTCTCCAGTAACAACTCCTTGATGTGATCTAAAGACACAAATTTCCTGTATATTTCTTCTTGTAAAGGTACAAGACGTACCCAAATGATTAAATCATTTTTCCTAGAAAGAGAAGGCATTTCGCAGATGGCATCACCACCTGAATTCTCTTCAGTGGGTCTGACCTCCAGGATGCTTGACTTTTTCCTCTGTACTACTTCTTTAGTTCTCCTGAGAAAATAGGGTTTTATGATTTCCATTAAGTTTTCAGATATCTTAAGTCCCAAGGCTTTTTCCTCTGGAGTAGCATCCTTCTCTCTTGCTCTAACAATAGGATTTTCATACTCCATTTTAAAAGTTCTTAATGTTCCTAGCAGGGATCCCTGGCAAGCAAAATCAAATAGGGACCATAGTTCTTGTAAATTATTCTGGATTGGGGTCCCTGTGAGGAGGAGGCGATTATGTGCAGGGACAGCACGTGCACACAGTGCAGACTTAGTAGACGAACTCTTGATCTTATGAGCTTCATCAAGGATGACATAGTCCCACACAAATGCTTCGCCATTAAAGCTGGAAAGCTGCTGCCAATTGTTGATTAGCATTTGGTATGTAGTGATTACAACACCTTTCCTTTGCTGAACCCGGTAGAGGTTTCTAGTACGTTCGTTCTTGCTAGGACCGTGAAAGGTTTTGACTCTCATTCCTGGGGTCCACTTGGCAAATTCTTTTATCCACATGCTGATGAGATTGGTAGGCATTATTAACAGCACATGATTCACAAGTGAAGAATCAAACATACCAGAAAGGAAAGCAATGATCTGAATAGTCTTCCCCAATCCCATGTCATCTGCCAAGATACCTCCTTTTTTTCTATCTCGGTATAGACTATAGAGGAAAGCCACACCTTCCTTCTGGTGCTCGAACAGTTGGTTATGTAATTCTCGATAAATCAGCAGACCAGAGTTGCACACATCTGTGAATTCATCATCGTCTTCATGTTTCAACTCCTCCAAAGCTTCCTGCAGTTTCTGGATTCTACTCATCAGCTTTTCAGTGGGAAAAATGTCCTTTGCCAAATTGAAAAGCTTAAGTGCTTCCTCCAGATATCCATTCTTAGTTGCTTCTTTAGCTTCTTTCATGTATCTACAAAAAAGGTTAAAAAAAATTAACACACAACATCAAAAGGTAATACATTTAACACTAAGAAAGCTTTAGAATCCAGTAAACTGTAGCTGGACTTTTAACATCCAAAGAAAGCCATAATATGTAAAGAATTCTCCAAACTTAATAGAAAAACCATACAATGTAGTTAGGAGATAGGGAAGAGACATGCACACAAGAAGGGCTGACCAAATAGCTCAACAGATTAAAGCACCTGCAAGCAGGTGCAGGGCCGGGGGTTTGATCCTGGGCCTGCAGTGCCAGCCCCACCCCCGGGGCACACTGAGATGGCAATTGAGACTGGGCGTGGTGGCACATGCCTGTAATCCCAGCTCTTGGGAGGCTGTAAACAGACATCACTATGAGTCTGATTTAGTAGTGAGACCCTGAACACCCTGTACACCCTTCCCTAAAATACAAAATATAATAATAAGACATGCTCAGAAATTTCACTCAAGAGAAAATATAGATGGTATATAAGTACATGAAAAAATCACCAACATCACTCAGCCATTAAGGAAGTGTCAAGGGCCGAGGAGATAGCTTAGTAGAATAAGCACTTACCTGGCAAGCACAGGTTCCTGAGTTCAATCCCCGGTACCACAGAAAAAAGAAAAAAGGAAGTGTCAAATTAAACCACAATGAGCTGGGCATGGTGACACACAGGTCGGAGGATCACTGTGAGTTCAAGGCCAGCTTGGGTTACATAGTGAGACTTTGTCTTTAAAACCAGTGACAGGGCCAGGGAGATGGCTCAGTAGAATAAGCGCTTGCCTGGCAAGGGCAAGGGCCTGAGTTCAATCCCTGGTCTGCAAAAAAAAAAAAAAAAAAAACCAGTGACAGTTTAGGGTGTGGTTCAGTAGTAAAGCACTTGCCTAGCATGTGTAAGACCCTTGGTTCCATCCACAGGACTGAAAAAGAATGAAAAGGAGGAAAAGCAGCAGTGACAGCAGCAGAAGCTTCCATCACGTAGACAAGCAAATAGTCAGGTACAGTGGCACAGGCTGCTAATACTAGCAATATAAAAGGTTGAGGAGGAGCTCTTGAGTTTGAGGGCGACCTGGGCTACATAGTGACTTTAAAGATAGTCTGGGACTATGTAGGAAGACCCTGGCTCAAAAAATAAAACAGGGGCCGGGGAGATGGCTCAGTAGAATAAGTGCTTGCCTGGCAAGCACAAGGACCTGAGTTCAATCCCCGGTTCCACCCAAAAAAAAAAAAAAAGGAAAACAAAATTGTTGCTAAACTGCCCAAGCTAGGCCTGAACTTTCCATCCTACTGCTTTAACCTCCCAAGTACTGGCTGGGACTACAGGTATACACCACCAAGGCTGGTTAGAAGAGGGGTTTACAAATAGGCAAGGTGAATTTAATCCACAAAGTAACAGATCAGAGCTGGAGATACCATTACAAACCAATGCTTAGCTTAATATAGATACAGATTATACATGTATTTATAAACACTTATATATGCATGAATTAGCATGGACACCTGTTTCCTTGCTGTCATCTGAATGGATCTAAATGCAATGATGCCCCAGTAGCCAGAGAAATCTCAGCACCCAGATTTTGGCTTCTCATATCATTCTCCAATAAAAGGATCCAGGGCTCGTTGGGAAAAAGGCTGATTCTAGGACAGTGGCAGGAAACACCATGTAAGATAAGCCTACAGTATCTTATAATGCAAGGAAAGGAAATACTAAAAAGAAATACTAAATTTATAATGATGGGTATAGTTACAGGCACATGGGAGCAAATTAAATGAACTTCCACTGCTTAAAATCTAGACCTATTTCAGCAATAAGTGGTACTAAAAGTAAGTCAAAAGTATAAAAATATTCATGAGCCCATAATAATACAGTAAATACATAGGTTTATAGAACTACTCTGCCCGGGCCAGGGAGATGGCTCAGTAGAATAAGCGCTTCCCTGGCAAACCCATGGGCCTGAGTTCAATCCCCGGTTCTGCCAAAAAAAAAAAGAACTACTCCACCTCACAAAGGTGAGGCATATATTGCTGAGTGTGGTGGAATACCCAGCACTTAGGAAGCTGAGGCAGGTGGATTGTTGTGAATTGAAGGCCAGCATGGGCTACATTGCGAAACCGTGTCTCAAAGAACAAACAGTTGAGCACATATGTGCTATTTTGTACATGTGGGCTGCACACAGTGACATCCTAACAAAGAGTACAGTGTGGAAAGGTTCAGTTGTGAGGAAAAGGAACTTGACAGTGAAGAAACCTGGCAAACAGTACCTCAGCCAGCTGACGCAGGTCAACATTAACAGTGGTTAAGTCACAATGATAGCACATGGCCTTATGTTATGGCCTGTGTCTAAATGTCCCCCTAAAGCCCCATGTGGTCAGAGGTGGGGCATTTTCAGAGGTTGCTGGATCTAGAGTATGTGATGCTAGAACTGACTCATGGTACAATGCTAGGATCAAGGGCACTAGGCTTAAAGATGTAAGTGCCACTTGCCCTAAGTAGGCTGCAGAAAATATAAGGAGTAGAAAGAGCTGTGGTCATCCCTTGTTGCTTCTGCCCACCACAAACTACTTCTCCTCCGTGATGCCACCTGGCCTTACAGCCAGCCAATTAGGGACTGAAACCTCTACAAACTATGAGCTAGATAAACCTTTACCCCTTTAACTTTGGGCATTGTGTATTTCATCTTTGCAATGAGACAAGTACTCTCCAAAACCAAAATCTCAGTCTAATCATGAGAAAGCCATCTGTCAAATCTCAGTTGAGGAACATTCTATAAAATATGTGACTAGCCCTCTTCATAACCATTAAGGTCATCAAAAACAAGGAAAAGTCTAAGAAACTATCACAAGCAAAAACAGGTTAGATGAAGAACTACAACATGGTATGCTACATGGGATGCTGCAATAGAAAAGAGTTGTTAGATAAAAACTAAAGAAATCTGAATAAAGCATGGCTCTAAGTTAATGGTAATATATCGGTCCTGATTCATTAATTGTAATTAATGTACCATGCTAAGGGGAGATGCTAACAATAGCGGAAACTGGGAACTGTACTGTTTTTGCAATTCTTTGTACATCTAAAAATATTCCAAAATAGGAGCCAGGGATTTAGCTCAGTAGCACAGCACCTGTCTGGCAAGTATGAGGTCCTGAATTAGATTCCCGGTACCCCACAAAAAGTCCCCAAATAAAAAATGTATTAGTAAAGGAAAAATTTATCTACAGACCTGCCTGCGTATGTATGTAGCTATGACCTTCTTGCAAAGAAGGACAGGGATCAGGTCTTCCAAGCAACACCTGCCAAAAGGCAACTGAATGCGCAGATGACCAGAGCAAAAACAAGATCCTGCTGGCTCCAAAACTCTGCCTTCTGCCGGCAGGGCAGCTGCCTCCCTCCCTGCCCTTTCTGGCAGCCTTTAGAACGAAGCCACAGTCTCTCCTACTGACTGTGGAGGGTGCTGGGCTCCTCTGCCTAAGTGCCAGACCTGGAACCCCAGTCTTTATTCTCCCACTCCTGCTTAGCATGGTTCCACCACCCAGAGTGCTTCATCTAGCAAACTGCTTCCTTGACCTATGCTCCAGAGGCTCCAAGGAGAAAGTGTGCCACTCGTTACTGTTGGACTACAGGATTTCCATGTTTCCGAACTGGCCCTTGCGACTCAGCATCCTGAGCCCCTGTGAAGCGTGGGTTTTGAACTCTTCCCTAAAGATGAAAATCCTGTCCCTGAGCCCTAGCTCTGGGTCAGAGTCTCTACTTGTCATATACCAACCTTTTAAATGGCAAGTCTGCCTAGACTTCTTACCATCAGCCTGATTCCTTTGCTGGGTTCTATCTACCATCTGGAACTCTCAATCTTCTGCCCGAAGCACAAATTGGAAGGCAGAGCATCCCCTGGACACCAGTGTTTTCTGGCTGGGCCAAACTCCTGCAGTCGGCTAAGCTGCCTTCCCAGTGTTCGGACCACCCTAATTAGAAGGTCTAAGACTGCAAGTCAGTTCTCCTACTCTATTTGTTCTCCTCAGTGCACCTACCTAGGATGGTAGGTATTCTTTCTCTATAATAGAAACGGAGGGGCTGGTGAGATGGCTCAGTGGTCTAAAGCACCTACTTGGAACAAGCTTGGCAAAGCACAGGGACCGCGGTTCAATCCCCCAGCACCACATGCCAGCCAGACCCGCCCCCTGGTGGGCTGAGCTGGCCACACACACACACACACACACTCACACACAATAAATAAATAAATGTTTTAAAAAAAAAGAAACGAAGGGGGATAAAATTAGTTTTTTACAACACTACTATGGATGGTGGGCTATTTGCTTTTTTTTTTTTTTTTTTTGGCGGAACCAGGGATTGAACTCAGGCCCTTGTGCTTGCCAGGGAAGCGCTTATTCCACTGAGCCGTCTCCCCAGCCCCTCTATTTGCTTTTTATAATGCAGTTCCCCTCTAATTACTTCCATTTTCTTTTTTTTTTTTTTAAATATTTATTTATTTATTTGTGTGTGTGTGTGGCCAGCTCAGCCCACCAGGGGGCGGGGCTGGCTGGCATGTGGTGCTGGGGGATTGAACCGCGGTCCCTGTGCTTTGCTTAGCTTAGCTTGTTCTAAGTAGGTGCTTTAGACCACTGAGCCATCTCACCAGCCCTAATTACTTCCATTTTCCAGATCCTGGAAGAAAACTATGTCTTTTTTTTTTTTACTATTAATGTCATATATTCACCCCTAACACATAGGATCCCTGAAGTGATCTGAAGAACTTACTGGGCTGAAATACTTTTTTCCAAAGTTGCTTCCCAGTTCTGGATGTGACAGGGCCTGCTTGGGAGCTAAGACACTGAGGGAGGAGTAACTGGTTCAAGGGAAAGAACCACACTTCTCAAACAGAACAAGGAGAGAAACACTGGCAGACTATGGGGTAGGGGAAGATGTCAGTTTTTTAATTCTGTGGCAAACATCTTCGTATTTTAAAGATTGTACTGCAAATTCCTTGCCTAGAACA